ATTGTGACCCAATGCACAACAGAACAGAAAAATCATTGCTCATCTTCACAATAGTTTTTTGTTGTTATTACATCTTTTTAACTCAAATTCCATATAATGCATCCATGCACACATTCAATTCAATGGCTTTTAGTCTATTCACAGAATTGTGCACCCATTACCACAATCCATTGCAGAGCATTTTCATCATCTCAAAAATGAATCCCTCAATCCCCTCATCTTGCCTCCAGCCCTAGACAATCACTCGTCTACTTTCTGTCTTTTTATATATTGGCCTATTATGGACATTTCATTTAAATGGAATAAAAGATATTGTTTGAATGGAGATTTTCTGTTTTCTCTTAATTGCACTCTGCCCTACATTAATTTGCTCTGTTCTCTCTATCTTCCATGTGAGGGGTTTTGTTACAAGTCTGTTGATCTTTGATTGTCTATGGTTGTTGAAGAATGGTGAACTAGCAAACTAATTTACAGGCATGGGTAAGGCTTGTTGACTCTGAACTTCTCCATAGGGTAATCTGAGGGACATTTGGTAGAACAGTTTCAGAAGTCATCATATTTAGGTCTTTCTTTTGGAACTAAATGCATTCTTTTTTTTTTTTTGTAAATTTTTATTGTGAATTAAGTGATAGGATGATCAGCTTTACATTCATCCTATCGTATTCCATTTCATTGCAATGATTACAGTCCCCTCCATGCATCACCAAACAACCAAAGGTTATACCCCACAAGCCTGCACCTGACTGTCAGCACACAGCCCATCTCCCTCCCTGAGTCCAGAGTCCCCAGCCGCTCTATCTCTCCACATCATCATCTTTGCCTCCATCTCTGGCATCACTGCTTCTCTGGATAGGGTTCCACTCTCCACTCTTCTCCCTTCATAGTCCCAGGGTCCTCCACTCCAGAACTGCAAAATCAACCACTCCCCTCCTTTTGTTACACAACGTCTACCTTTACATTTTCAACACTCACAATCCATCCTAATAGCAAATTTCACTATTGAACCACAAAATCCTTATCCCCATCTCCTTTCATCAGCCCCGTCCAGACAGGTTGGAAACCACTCAGTAGAGATTCTATCTTCCCCTACACCCTCAAGAACTAGGCTCCCTCTTGAAAGCTTGTAAGCCAGTCACTTCTTGCCTTTGTAGTCCCCCATTTTGGGTAACCGATGTCTAAGTTGCCCAACCCTGTGTACCAAGGGGGTGGGAATGATCCTCGTTGTAAAGATTTGTACCCTCTTTTGAGCTACTACATCCGTTAAGTATAGGTCAAGTTCATCAAATTATAGCAGATTTTTCTTTTTTCCCTCTTCATTTCTCTAGTGGAGTTCTGATCATCCAGTCATTGAAGCCAGGTCAAGTAGGTACTCTCTGCAGGTATTGGTGTTCTTGTGCATTATATCAGCTGGATGCTTCACACTCTGTTCTAATCCTCTGTGTACATGTCCCTGTCTGTGGGCCCAGGAGTCCCCAGGTCTTGCCATGCTGCTGGCCAACCAGGTGTCAATCCAGGTTTACAGGAGTCTATTAAACGTGGTCAGAGTTAGCTCACAACTTCATTGCTGTTTTCCCCCCACTTCCCCTTATCAGAGACCAACGTGGTCACCAGCAAGACCACATGCCTGCTCATGTAGTCCCCTTGAGTCTCAGTCTTGGAAGGGGGTTTGCCCTGAGGGGACCCGACCGCTTGCCTTGATGGCTCCTGGGTGAACAACTTGCTTGTTCTTGTAGTATTCAGTCAGACTGCCGTTATTATTTTTTATTTTTCCTGCTGGTCTTTCTTTCAAGAAGTATCTTCTATTCTTCTAGCTACTCCAGGCCGGTCTGCTTGTCCTTTCATGTGGAAATTTCCTACCTCAGAAGATTCTGGATGGAATTCTGGATTCCCCCTATGGTCTTATGTAATGCAGAGGCTCCACAGGAAGCTTCCTTCGCTGGGCAAGTTCTAGCCCCAGTTTAGGTATTCCCATGGGAGAAAGATGAGGCTTTCTGCTCAGTAAAGATTTACAGCCTCGGAAATCCTGTACAGGCTCACTATGAGTCAGAACCGACGCCATGGCACATAACAACAACAGCAAAATCAGTTATAGGTTGAAGATGGACTTAAAAGCTTTTTATGGTGATGTTTCTGGCTATTCCTTTCTCCCTCTTGCAAGTGTCTATTTTACAATAGTAGGCAAGGGAAACCAAGATTTAAAGACAGCCAAAGTCACCTGAGGGGGAGAGAAAGGAATAGCCAGATATATCACCATAGAAAGCTTGTAAGTCTGTCTTCGGCATATAACTGATTGGAATACCTAAAATGGGGCTACAAAGTGCCCAGTGAAGGAGGCTTCCTGTGGAGCCTGTGCATTACATAAGACCATAGGTGGAATCCTGAACAGCATCCAGAATCTTCTGAGGTGGGAAATTTCCACTTGAAAGGACAAGTAGACCAGCCTGGAGTGGCCAGAAGAACATGATAATTCTTGAAAGAAAGAAAGACCAGCAGGAAAATACAAAACAATATCGGCAGACCAACTGATTACTACAAGAACAAACAAGCGGCTCACCCAGCAGACATCAAGGCAAGTGGTCAAGTCCCCTCAGGGCAAACCTCTTTCTAAGACTAAGATGCAATGGGAATACATGCTCTGATTGGTGACCACATTCATTACCGATAAGAGGAAGTGAGGGAAACAGCAATGAGGCTGCAAGCTAAGCCCTACAATGCTCAATAGACTCCTGTGAACCCCGGGTGGAGACCTGGTTGGCCAGCAGTGTGGCAAGACCTAGGGACTCTTGAACTCTTGACATAGCTACAGAGGACTAGAGTGGAGAGTGAAGCATCTAGCTGATAAGAAGAGAGGGCACATGCTTAAGTACACCCACACTTGCAGATAATACCCATTTGACCTGGCTTCAATGACTGGATGATCAGAACTCAACTAAAAGAAGAAAGAAGAGGAAAAAGAGTAATCTGATACAATTTGATAAACCTGACCTACACCTATGGATGCAGTAGCTCAAAAGAGGGAACAAATCTTCACAGTGTGAGGATCATTCTCACCCCCTCCATACATGGAGTGGACAGGGGTGGGCAACTTGGACATTGGCTACCCAGACGGGGGAGGCGCTACAGAGGCAAGAAGTGACTGGCTTACAAGCTTTCAAGAGGGAACCTAGATCCAGAGGGCGTGGAGCAGCAAGGTAGAATCTCCTCTGAGTAGTATCCAATCTGTCTAGGAAGGGCTGATGAAAAAAGATGCTGATAGGTCTCTTGTGATGCAATAGTGAATAACTGTTATCAGGACTGATTGTAAGAGTTGGAAATGCAAAGGTAGATGTTTTGTGGCAAAAAGAGGGGAGTGATTAACTTTGCAAAGGTTGCTGGGAACATCAAGGAAGAAAAGTGGAGAGCAGAACCCTACCCAGAGAAGCAATGATGCCAAAGATGGAGGCAGAGACGATGACGTGGAGAGATGGAGTGAGTGGCTGGGGACTTTGAACCCAGAGAGGGAGAGGGGCTGTGTGCTGACGACAGGGGGGCAGGCTTGCAACCATCTGGTTGGTTGATGATGCATGGAGGGGATTGTAACCATAGCAATGAAACAATATACAATAAGATGAATGGGAAGCTAATGTTCTCCCATGTAAACTATCATATAATTCACAATAAAACATTAAAAAAAAAAAAAAACCCTTTGCAAAGTAAATAAAACACAGATAAACAAAAAAAAAAACCCTTTTCAAAAAACAATAAACATAAAAAAAAAGATAGCCAAGCACATTAAAATTATTTCCCCTCTTTTACCCATTCAAGCCATGCTTCAATCCCTGGATCCCAGAGCCCTATTGTTCCAAGGTTAAGCATACATCACTATTTACCTCTGTTCCACGTAGCCCATGCAAACCTGTTCTCCCATCTTCCTTGTTTTTCCATTCTCCTCCCCGTTCTTGTGATTGTCCACCACCGCCTCCCCCCCTGCACCCAAACTATCCTGTGTATATTCAGTCACCAGCAAAGAATTGTTTTTTCTCCTTTTAGTTCACAACTGTTTTTAAGCTTGAGCCTATATTGCTACTGCCACTGTACTGATCCATCTTGTTGGGGTCTTCCTTTTTTTGCTTGTCCCTCTTATGTATTCCTTTTTATGGCCTCACTTTTTGGCCTATTGAAGAGAGCATGTGGCAGGAAAAGTCAGTAGTTTGAGTCCAGAGGATACCAGTTAGAATGATTATTTTAAGTTATCCTACAGTCTAAAGTGTGTCTCCTAATAATGTTATTTAAAAAATATGGATTTCTGTCTTTACACCCCACCCCACTCCACTCCACCCCCTTCAATGGCACAACCCACAGGGGCCAGGCCACCAAGGCATTTGTAGGCTGGGTCCAAGAAGTTAAGACTGTGAGGCAGTGAGACTTAAAATAGAAATAAGAAGAGCTTCTGACTGACAGGGTGGGTAGGCTTTTTCAGCCTGGGAGAATGAGCTGCCCTTTTGGTAACTGCCCTTCCAGTTACTTGGGAATATATAGAGATCATGTATTCCACGGGAATAATGCCACTTTGCCGTTGTTAGGGGAGGGGAGGCAGCAGGTCCACATAGTGTGAGTCGTAAGTTTCCCAAGATCTCTACATTTCCCAGTGGCCTTTCTTGCTCTTTCATTCACTCAAGGAGGCCTTCTACAATTTGGTTTATATACTTGATCTGGAGTACCTGGTATGGTGCTGTAGGATATGAACTGCTGACCACAAGGTCGGCGGTTCAAACTCACCAGCCACTGCTTGGAAACCCTATACAGCATCACTATAAGTTGGAACCAAGTCAATGGCTTTTAATAACAATAACAACTGACAATACTAATGAAGCCCCCACTAGAAAGGAGAATAAATTTAAAAAGCAACAGTAGAGCTCAGTTATGTGAGGCACCTTCATTATTTCTCTGACACCTTGGGGACAGAGGGAGAGGGGGGAAATGGCCCATCACTAAAAAGCCTCTGCTTTCTATTCCTCAAGCAACCTCATAACATTCTGCAGAGACGCCTCATGGAAACCAACCTGTCTAAGCTCCGAAGCAGCCGCGTCCCTTGGGCCTCCAAGACCAACAGACTCAATCAGGCTAAGTCTGAGAGTCTAAAGAAGTCCGAGGATGATGACATGATCTTGGTTTCTTGCCAGGTAATGTTCTAAGGGTAGCTTTGGGAATTTCTGGAAAGTAGGATCTGGGATCCTCTGTGATCCCAAGAGTGGCCCTCTCCTCCAAACACTTTATAGAATTGTGGGTTTATCATGAAATTCATTAATAGATTTTAAAGGAGGCATTCCATGCAACACTAGAGTGCATGCAAACATCTGCATGTGCATCTTTAAGGGAGGAAGAACCAAAGATTTCATCAGACTTGCCAAAGGATATATGATGATTAAAAAAGAAAAAAGATGAAAAGCTCCCTGGGTTGTGGAATAAAACACCCAAAGTCTTTGGGATCCTCTATTGGATTCAGCAGGAAGGAGAGTCACTCAAAGTTAGACTCAGCAGTGGATAAAGATGAGACAGAGAATTCACCACTGATTGTCAGGGTGCTCGCCAACCCTGTCTATATGTGACATCTTCTGCCTGCTGCCTGCAGCTCCCTTTCCTTTGTTCCGCTGGCTCCTTTTGAACAGTGTATTTCCTCTCTACAGTGTGCCGGAAAGGATGTAAAAGCCTTAGTTGACACAGGCTGTCAACATAATCTCATCTCCTCAGCCTGTGTGGACAGATTGGGGTAAGTAGCCAGTTGTGCTGGGTGGGAGTCAGATGTGAATGCACTCTTTGTAGATCTCCTTTTGGTTACAGATGGGGAGCATCTCCACAGAGGCTCTAAGAAAAGTGTGCAGAATTTTAGCAGGAACAAGAATCCTTAGTAGAGAGGAAGAATGGTGGGGTTTTAGGCAGCTTATAGAAATCAGTGTGCCAGGCAAGCCTCAGGTTCTCCATTAACTCGCACTTATTAAGTCCTGGTGTGGCGCTGTGGGTTAATGTGTCAGACTGCAAAGCCGTTTGAACTACAAGGCAGGCAGTTCAAGCTCACCAGCTGCTCCTTGGAAACCCTATACAGGGTCACTATGGGTCGATCTCGACTCAACGGCACTTGACAACAATAATTTCTGAACAGAGACTTCTTGAATCTGGAGCAAGAGAGTATGAGACCCCTGGCTGGTGTGTGCCTTTCCCTGATCAGCCAGATGACAAATTAGGAGTTATCGCACATGAGTAAAAACAGAGACATAGTTGGCCTCAGCTTTTTGAAGGCCACTCTGCTTGTCCTAAGAAATGTGAGTCAGATTGACAGTGGGAAGTGGATTACTGCTGGGCCTGATTAGCCAGTAGTTTCCTTTCTGCAAATCATATTCTCCTGCTGCTTCTGCTGGGGACTGGGTGTGAGGCAAACACTTCAGATAGCAAATAACTTAAGTTTTCTAGCAGGTAGATTTGGGTCCTCACTCTTTTAGTCAAAGAAAGCCATTTTCTATCATGCCGCCTTATTCTGCAATCTCTACTTTTATGTATTTTCTTCTTCCTTCTCTTTCTTCCAAAGTGCTATATGAGCTCTGGAGTCTTGCCCAATATCTGGACAATCAACCCAACATTTTTCCCACATCTCCAACCCTAAATGTGATAAATCATTCCCTAGCCCAAATCTCTGTAATAAAACAATTACTAGAATACATCATAAGGAGCCCTGGTAGCATAGTGGATTACGAGCTGGGCTGCTGACCTCAGGGTCAGTAGTTCAAATCTACCAGCTACTCTGTTGGAGAAAGGTAAGGCTTTCTGCTCCTGTAAAGATTTACAGCCTTGAAAACCCTGTACAGGGTGACTATGAGTCGGAATCGACTCGACGGCACTTAACAACAAGAAGAAGAATAGATACGGAGTCCCGGTGTCATGCTGTAGGTGATCACTGGACTGCTCACCTCAAGGTCAGTGGTTGAAACCCACCAGTTGTCCTTGGAAACCCTATAAAGAAAGGGTCAATGTGAGTTGGAACTGACTCAACGGCACTTCACAATAACAACAAGCCTATCTGCAGGACCCGGGTGGCATGGTGAGTTATAAGTTGTACTACTAGCCACAAGGTCAGCAGTTCGACTCCACCAGTTGCTCTGTGGGTGAAGGATGCGGCTTTTTGCTACTGTAAAAATGTATAGTTTCGGAAACCATATAGAGTATCACAACCAACTCAGTGGCAACAACAGCGACAGTAAGGATAGATAGATATAGTAGGCTGTTTGAACTAGGTTCAAGATGTTCATATTCCTAGATAGGGTTTGCATACGATTTGATTTGTATAAATCATTGACCTTTGTTCTTTCTCATCTCACCCCTGACCAGCACTGTATACACTTTGAAAGTGGATCTATGGATTTTGAATATTGCTATTTAGAGTCATGGGGGGAATGCAGGGCACAAGGGCTCTTGTGGGAAGAATCCTGAGCCTTAGTATGTGGAGAGATGAGATATAGTGCAACAAGATGGTTCCAGAAAAACTAAGAATGTACTTGTGCATAATTAGGCAGCAGACTGCCATGATTCCAGAGGAATTAATAACCATCTGTAAAACTGCAATTATTTTCTTTTGGATGGACTATAACAGCAAAGGAGAGGAAATGGAGGAAAGCAGAAGTATTGGCACAGAAAGTCCATAATTAAGTATTTATCTACCAACCATAATAGCTCTGGTGCTAGTTGTTCCAGTCAACTTATGTAACTGTGTGAGACCCTGGTGCCATTCCTTTCCGCCCTCCCCTACACAGACGTTACATTAATCAGAGCTTTCTGTTTGAATTCCATGCTGACACCAATACCAACGCACTTACCAAATAAGTACCTGCCCCAGTGACTTTATAACCTGAAAGAAATTGATGATGGTACATTGACAAAAAGAAAATATAAAAGGACATAGAGAAAGTTAGACATAAAACATCTTCTAAGACTGGAGTCCTGGGATGGTGCTGTGGGTTAATGCGCTAGACTACAAAGTCAGTTTGAACTGTAAGGTCATTAGTTCAAGCTCACCAGTCACTCCTCGGAAACCCTATGGGTCACTATGGGTCGGGACCAACTCATCGTCTCTTAACAACAAGAAGACTGGATTAACCTGCCTTCTATAAGATCTATTATGAGTAGAAAGGGACATGTTGACTAAACTGCCTTCCATAGTTAGGGATGTTAGGATGTAGAATAGGATTCTTGAGTATGTCAATTCCCTTCTTTCATCAGTGCAGCTAGTAAGTGTAAGTTTTTGAACACAGGAGCTGAATCTTGTTTTTTTTGATATCCCTCTGGCATGTTTAGAACAAAGTGCTGAAAAACAGACTTTTTTTTCTTTTGTATGTAAATTAATCCAAGGAAATCCCTAGAGAATTCCAGCTGTGGGGTCAGAAGGTAGACCTTGCCAGATTCTACCAGAAATCTCTGCCAACTGGACTCTGGTGTCTTCCTCTCTGATGCAGGCTTAAGGAGTATGTCAGATCTCACAAACATGAAGGGGAGAAACTTTCTCTACCCCGGCATCTCAAAGTAGTGGGCCAGATTGAGCATCTAGTGATCACACTGGGCTCCCTCCGCCTTGATTGCCCAGCAGCTGTGGTTGGTAAGTAGTTTGCGGGGCTGGACCTATAGGCCCCTAATGTAAACCCTTCTCTTACCTCCAGCGAATTCTCATGAGATCACAGCCCTGTAAATAATGACTTCTTCAAAATCCCAAGTTACCACTTTATAGTAATACAGATCTTATTCTAATTGTTGCCTTCCAAAGTACCAGATGGGCCCTGAACTACATTTAAGACACACTGATAATCTGTCCAAAAAAGAAATTCAAGGAGCAAGAAGCAAATATTTTTGTTTTCAGATGAAAAAGGCGCTTCAGACCTTTTTATGAGCTACTTGGAGGAAGAGACAATATCTTCCATTAATACTTAAGAGAGTTTCCCAATATTTCCTTTCTGTACTTTGCTTATGCATTCTATACTAGACTACTCTTCAGTGCCTGGTTTTTCTCTAAAGGACTTTTTCCTTTAGAGTTAAAAAGATAGAGCTAGGTTTTAATCCTGGATCTGTTGTCTTTTAACTATATTATCTGAGCAAATTATTTAGTGTAATAGTTTCCCAACAAATGTTTGTTGGATGGATGGACAGACAGATGGATGGATGGATAATAGATGGCAGGCACCTAATAACTGATCAGGTTGCCCTCCAAATGAGCTTAGAAATAGCTGAGTCTTACACCTATGCTGTTTTTCAGAGGACAGTGAGAAAACCTTGTCCCTTGGTCTGCAGACACTGCGATCCCTAAAGGTAGGTTGATTCCACTTTCCCTTTCATACCTCCTCTCTGAAACAGGGATCTTCTTATATGGGACTCCATAATGGTATCATTAACAGGGACCAGTAATTCTCCTTTGTTTTCAGTGCATCATAAATCTGGACAAGCACCGGCTGATTATGGGCAAGACAGACAAAGAAGAAATCCCTTTTGTGGAGACAGTTTCCTTGAATGAAGACAAGTGAGTACCCAGATGGGTCAGGGCAAGTTAAATCCATCTGTAATGAGCTGCAGGGAACTGGGGCATATCAAACAGGATATGGGGTTGTGTCCTGCCTGTGATCTCCAATCATATTATAAGCCTGCCCCTCCCTACCCACCCCCCGCAGAGTTTCCCATCACACAAAACTCTTCAGCTCACACTTCAGAATGAGCAATGATGATGTCACACAGAGTAGTGAGGAAGATGAATAGCTTTTAAACCAAAATTATCTCCAGCCTAATCTTTTTACATTTGTTATCATTTCTTCTGATATTTCTTTCTCATTTCAGCACCTCAGAAGCATAACTACAGCCTGCAGCGTGTCTGCACGTATGCATACACACACCAGATTGACAGATCGCAGTACCAAATGCAGTAGCAACTTGCTGTGGACCAAGTCCTTCCCTCTACTAGAAGCTCCAGGGACTCCTCCCCACCCAGACCTCTCTAGACTATAGTCTGTGCTTAGAGATTTTGTCTGGTTATAGCCGTTGTTTTTTACTCCATTGATCACTTGATTTATAGACCTTTTGACACTGCCAGGTCTCACTTATGGCCTATTTCTCTGCATCCTCTAGGAATTAGCTTTTATTAGTCAATATAGGGGCTGCCAGGTTCTAGTTCTCCATAGACACACTTGCTTCTTTCCCTGTCGTTGTTAAGTGCTGTCAAGTTGGTTCCAATTCATAGTGACCCTGTATAGGGTTTCTGAGGAGCAGCTGATGAGCTTGAACCACTAAGTTTGCAATTTAAACTGACCTTGCAGTCCAGTGCATTAACCCACAGCACCACACCACGATTCCCTGAGCTAACTGTATAATAAACAGGAACCTGACCTTTACCTCCTTTCAGCTATTTCAAAGAGATACAGGAGACCCATGTCTTGGAATTAGAATTTTTTCTAATTCATGCATTGATTATTCAAATGTGAATCTGAAAGAGTCCAGAGTGACCATCTAGTCCAACTATTGCATTTAAAGGTCTAGAGAGGCAAGTGGACTGCCTAATATTATATACTGAGTCAGTGGCAGAAAGGGACCTAGATCTCAGACCCAACTTCCAAACCAAGACTACATTCATTTTCCCACACTGTCTCATTTGTCCTCAAGCCTTTAGAGGAGAGTAAAGCTGTATGAACATGTTAAAAGGTAGGGTAGAGTAAGAATTTGCTTTTAACAATTTTAGAAGGACCTCCCTCCTGTGTGCTAAGCCCACTCAAAGTTCCTAGCCCCCAAAATGTGATATCCAGGCCCTTAATTTTGTTGCCCAGAAGCTAAATGCACAAAAATGAATGAGATGGATTCTCACTTTGTACTTCTTGGAAGGGAATGGAAGGAATGGGGAGGAACATTAATCCCTCTCTGAGATGAAATTGAAAACTTCAGTAAATAATCTGGGCATTATTCTCATTTATTCCCCTAATATCCAAGGTCTCAAGTACCTAAACAGGCACAGAACAGAAGGGAGTAACGGAGGGATTAGTTGAGAGGATGGAAGTAGAAAATGAAACTTGCAGGCAGGGAATTGAGGAGTATGACACTCTTCATCCTGTACTGATACAAAGATGGAAGCAGGGCAGGAGCTCGCAGTGGTAAGGGCAATCTTTCGAACTGCATAATATTTCCTGACACCGCTCAAAGATAGGGGAGAACACAGAGTCTTCTTTCTTGTTGGGGTGCCAGCTTAGGCACACAAGTATCTGTAATGAAGTCACAGAAGTATCCAGCTGTGGGTATCCTTTCAAAAGATGCCCATTTGCCCTTGGTCATAACAGTAATCCCCAGAGTGTTTCATGGGTCCTACTTTGAACCTTGCCAGGCCCATTGAGAATCTGGTTTTCAGCCACTGGCCCTACCAAATAGCTGTTTGGAACTCTACATGTTTTTGATCTCATAGCAGGTCTCCAGGAACTAGGAATTTGATGACCTGCATTTGAGCAGTGAGGAAGCTCTGCTGCAGCCAGTTCTCACTGGGTCATTTCCCTGGCCCCCTTCCCTTAGCCTCTACAGAGGAAGCTAGTGGGGAAAAGTAAGCAAAGCCACAGTAGAGGAGGGCACTTCCGAAGCTCAGCAGCCTTCAGTGCCCCTCCAGCTCCAGCCATTCTCTTACTTAGGAAGGACCTGCCCCTCTCCATTGAGGCCTCCCCACTCTCCTCTCTTATCTCTCATGGCCTCATTAAGCTGCTGCTTATCATATGACTGAAGAGAAATACTTCACACCTTACTTCCCTACTTAAAAGTTCCACTCTGAGCCTTGACTTTTGACTCCAGTTAAGACCTGTTGGAGGTTCCCTGGCCTGGTTTTTCCTTATTTAGATTCTCTGTGGATAAAGTAAGGCCACGAAGTCTCAGGTTCTGGAAAGACATGTCTTCTGGCTCTTTGAGTTCATATCATAATCATATAGCTTTTAGTAATCCTTCTGATTTTTCCATTTGGCATAGAAACCATTGGGATGATATGACCTTAGGTTATCACAGTCTCACCCTGTACAGCCATACATTATCATTCTCTAACCAAATAATTGTGCTTTAAACCCTAGGCTTGATAGAGGCACCTAAAAATGTCTAGAGGCAATTATGAAAATCTTCAGTAGACTTCTTTAAATGCTGCCAAATTGACAATTTGAGAGCCATAACTCCTTGATGTTCATGAGAAAGCACTGAGTCGTCTTTGTGGGGCTGGCAAGATAAGCTTGTGAGGTCAGTTCTGGGTCACTTTTTCCCAGTCTGCTAGAAAATTCTCTCTGGTGCCTGTGGCTGGGCATTGGTGATGGGGTGGAGAAGCATCTACCCAGGTCAGAGTTCTGAAGAAGACATGCAGTAGCAAGAAATAACCTTATAGAACTGTTACCTATTGCAGTTGTCCGATCATAATACAGGGTGTTGAAAAATACTGTTTCTATCATTTGTTTTTTCTGTGCCTGACTCATTTAAGGAGTGAATTTTCTATTTCTTTAACCTACAGTAGATCATACCTGGTAAGATTTTCTATTCCTCAGCTCCAAGTGTCTATAGAATAGATTGCCTGGTATGTCAGCTGCCCTCACTGTGTGTATAGAAATACCTTTCCAGGCTGGGGACATGGAGGAGAGGAACTGGATTCCTCCCTCCCTCTGTTACTAGGCCTTTGCATTGGCACTTTATCTACTCTGTGTTTCTGAGTGTGTCAGGTTTATCTGTGAGACTGATGTAACAATAAAGTGAAATCTTGCCCCTCTGTGTGTTTGTCTGACAGTCTTTATGTTATGGCTTCAGCCTTAAAGGTAGGGGAAGGCAACCTCAGTACAGTGGTGTTCATCCCCAGGGTCTTCTGAACCCAAGGCTTTATTTTTGTTCCTCGACTCCTCCATTGTTACTAGACCCTCATCTCCCTCTTACTGGTTGTATTTCTTTGGGTGAATTAATGAACCCTTCTGAGCTTGGTTTTATAATCTATCAACGGAAGTAATAATAATACACATTTCTGAAATATTACTACTTCTGTTGATAGATTACAAAATAGCAAATGGGAGGTACTCAAGTTAAATATAAATGAGGGCAATCTTTTATGGTGGGTTAATTAACAGAATGTTTCTAGAAAAGAAAATATTTAATGCAAACAAATAAGAGGTGTGGGAAGGGGAAGGGGTTGAATGACCCTCAATCTACGGTTGGAACTATCATCTATATAGTATTCTAAATAAATGTGTTTTACAGGTGATGGAAACTTACCTTTTAATATATTTCTAGTAAAGAGTACAGTTAAACAGTGACCATAACAGCATGTTTTAGCTATGACAGGAGTTATCATAATCTAAAAGTACACTTCTGCCAGTACTCAGAAGATACTGCCAGTCCACCTCAAAAGGTTTTCTGTCATTTTTATCTTTTTATTCTAAGTGAAAAATGTCAAAAGGCTTACCCAGCCTGGCTCTTAAGTGATGATCACCAGAATCAAGATTTATAATCATTTTAATAGAAAGAAGCCAATAAAATTAAGTTCTAACAGTTAAAAATATACACTGAAACAAACAATAAATAAGGGGGAATCTGATGCAGACCGTGCAGACCCGGTCAGGAGGTCAAG